CTTATCCTACTGAGCTATCTCCCCAGCCCATTGCTATGCTCAATTCTTTTTCTTTTCTTTCTTTCTTTTTTGTATTTTAGGGAAGGGTCTATGGGTGTTCATGGTCTCACTACTAGATTAGACTCACAATGATCTGCCTGTTTACAGCCTTCCAGTAGCTGGGATTACAGGCATGCACCACCAGTATCAACTGCCATCCCAGGTGCCCCAGGGGCGGGGCTGGCACTGCAGTCTAGGGGATAGAACTCTGGCCCCTGAGCCTGCTTGTAGGTGCTTTAATCTGCTGAGCTATTTGGCCGGCCTTCATGCTCAATTCTTAAGTGATCCTCCTGTGTCAGCCTCCCCAAGGTGGGATTATAGGCATGTGACACTGTGCCTGTTTTCCATGGCTGGCTAGGTGTGTCCAGGGTTTCAGGGCTGGCACAGCATGCAGTGCAGGGGATCGAACGCAGGTCCTTGCACTTGTTAGGCAGGTGCTTAGACTGTTATCTTTTTTTTTCATCCTGCCTCAGGTTTATTTGTATAAAAAGCACAGGAGGACACCAGCCCCCTACAGAAGGCACCCTAGCAGTCACACTAGTCCTTCTGATTTTACATCAGCAGGTAAGAGGCTTTTACTGTGGAGCCTTCACGGAGGCCTGGACATCCATGGGGGCCTGAGCATTTTTAGGAGCCTGGACTAGAGCAGAAGCTGGATCCTGGGCCTTGGTTGGATGGCTGGAGCCTGGGCCTTTGGCCCTTGGCAATGTGGGTACTGATATGCTTCCCAAGCTTGGGGTGGGCCATATAGTAAGTCGAGCGAGTCTGTAGTTTACTCCCTTTGGAATGATATTGGGCTTGACTTCCTTGGGCTTGATGAGGGCCTTGATAACCTCCATATGTGCATTCATAGCCTTTGCATTGTTTGCTTGCATCTTCTTTTTTTTTTTTTTTTGCGGAACCAGGGCTTGAACTCAGACCCTTGCACTTGCCAGGGAAGCGCTTATTCTACTGAGCCATCTCCCCAATCCCTGCTTGCCACTTCCTGAAGCCCTTCTTGTTGTGTTTCTTGGCAACACGCATGTTCCTAAGGAACTTGGGATCTACCCCCTTCAAAGATTCGTATCTTTGTTGTGTTTTTTTTTGCGGAACCGGGGATTGAACTCAGGTCCTTGGCGCTTGCCAGGGAAGCGCTTCTTCCACTGAGCTGTGTCCCCCGCCCCTAGATTTGTATCTTTGTGTCTTGAAGCCATTTCTGTGCCATTTTGGGACTGGTTGTATGTGGTGTGGTTCTTGGACTTGGCCATAACTACACTGTAAACCACAGCTGCCAAGCATCTGGAACAGGAAGATAAGACTGCTATCTTAACAACCCAGCATTTCTTATTCCTAACCATATCTTAGTAGTCACTAATCAACCCTTTCCCATCCCTCCGACTCACCTACTTTCCCTCTGGTCACTACCACTTTACTCTCAACTTGTTTTTTTTTTTTTTTTTTTTATTCAGGACAGGGTCTAGAGGGTCTACAGTGTTTCACTATGTAGATCAGATTCATAGAGATGCTCCTGTTTTCAGCCTCCCAAGTGCTGGAGTTACAGGCTCCCACCGCCACGCTCAGTTTCAATCATTGTCTCATCATGCCCCAGGGTCGGAGCTGGCACAGCACAGCACACCAGGGATCGAACCTCGGCCTCTGCACTCTGCCTAAGCAGGTGCTTTAGTCCGCTGAGCTATCAGGCTGGTCCTCAACTTTTTTTTTTTGTGGAACTGGTGATTGAACTCAGGCCCTTGTGCTTGCCAGGGAAGTGCTTATTCTACTGAGCCATCTCCCTGGTCCCCAGCCTTACCTCAACTTCTTTTTGATCAACATTTTTATATTTCACATGAGTAAGAACATTCATTCAGCACGTGTGTACCTCTGTGCCTGGCTTATTCCATTTAGCACAGCGATCTCTAATATTATCCATAGAGTCAGTTAGTATTGGTTGATTAATTGATTTAGTAGTACTACAGATTGAACCCAGGGAAAATCAAACTAAATCTTCAGCTCTTTTTATTTTTTAATTTATTTTTTATTCTTAAAATTTTGTGACAGGATCTGTTTAAATTGCTCAGCCTGGCATCAAACTTGAGATCCTCCTATCTTGGCCTCTGGAGTAGATGGAGTTACAGGACTGTACCAACATATCCAGCTTGTACTTCATTCTTTTTTACAACTTCATAATATTATATTGTGCATATGTTCCACATTTCCTTTATCCATTCATTAGTTGATGAACACTCAGATCATTTCCATTTCTTGGGTATTGTGAATAGTGTCATAATAAAGGAAAATGCAAATGTCTCTTCAATATGCTAATTTCATTTCTTTTGCATATATACCTGATAATGGGATTGCTAGATCATATGGTAATTCTACTTTAATTTTTTTTTTCTTTTTTTTTTTTTTTTTTTTGGCAGAACCGGGAATTGAACTCAGACCCTTGTGCTTGCCAGGCAAGCACTTATTCCACTGAGCTATCTCTCCAGCCCCTATTTTAATTTTTTGAAACATACTGTTGGCACTTAAATTTAAGTCTTTGATTTTTAAAAAAAAATTAACTTTTATATGTTAGGATAAGCAGTTTCAGTTGTATTTCTGTATAGTTGTAATTTTGTATGTTAGCGTAAGGGTACAGCTTTACTCTTCTACATGCCCAACCTTCCAAGAAATACCAAGTATGGTGGCACATGGGAGGATTACAACTTGAAGCCTGGCCTGGGGATAGTCTAAACTGACCTTGAACTCACAGAAATCTTCCTGCCTCAGCCTCTCAAATCCTGGGATCATAAGTGCGCACCTCTACATCTGGTAGAAAAAAATTGTTTTTTGAAGAGTTTGTTCTTTCTTTTTATTTAATGGGATTGGCACTCTAGCTGAAAACTAATTGACCTTAGACATGAAGACTTACCTTTGGGCTGCCAATTCTGTGCCACTGATACATATCTGTCCTTATATTAGTGCAATGTTTTGATTAATATAACTTTATGTTTTGTTTTGTATTTAGTACAGGGTCTACAGGGTCTCACTATATAGATCAGACTTGTAGTAATCCACCTGTGTTCAGCCTCCCAAGAGCTAGGAATACAGGCACATACCACCACACCGCACCACCATGCCCAGTCTCAATCGCCATTTCAGTGGGCCCTGGGGGGGCACAGCATGAGGAACCTGGGATAGAACCCTGGTCCCTGTGCTTGCCAAATCAGATGCTTAGTCTGCTGAGCTAGCTTGCTGGCCCCAGGATGGCTTTTTCCATTTCCACAAAAAAAACTTATTAAAAAAACCCCACAACATTTATTTTTAAGGCTGGGGAGATAGCTCAGAGATGTAAGTGCCTGCCTCACAAACACAAGATCCTGTGTTTGATCCCTGTACCCCTCCAAAAATTAAAAAAAACCAACCTATTTGGATTTTTATAGGGATTATATAAGTGGGTATATCATTTTACATGGTATTATCTTATTAATATTGTATCTTCCATTCCATGAACATATGGTATTTTTTAATTTAGGTCTTTTTTGGGGAGGGGAGTGAGACAGGGAGGGTTCTCACTATGTAGTTCAGGCTCACCTTTGAACTCACAGGGTAGATCAGGCTGGCCTTGAATTTGTGGTGATCCTCCTGCCTCAGTCTCCCGAGCTCTAGGATTACAGGTATACTTTACCATGACAAGCCAGAACTCTAGAATGATGTTGAGTAACAGTGGTAAAAAGTAGGCATCATTCTGGTCTTGTTCCTTTTTTTTTGAAGACAGGGTCTTGTTATATAGTTCAGGATGGCGTTCAACTCACTATATAGCCCAGGCTTGCCTCAAATATGCGGCAATCCTCCTGCTTTAGCCTCCTGAGTGCTAGGATTATAGGCCTGTGCCACCACACCTGACCTACTTAGGGGAAAAGCCTTAAATCTTTCATCAAAGTGAGCTGTGGGTCATATACATATGCATGGTCTTTATAGGAAATTGCCTGTTATTCTTATTTTTTTGCTTTTTCTTTTGAGACAGGGTCTCATTATATAGATCAGGTTGGCCTTGTTGGCCTTGAACTTATTATGTAGCCCAAGCTGGCCTTTTCTCCTATGTCAGCCTTCCAAGTGGTGAGACTATAGGCATATGACACCATGCCTGGCTTAATGAAAATTTGTGAGAGATATACTCCTTTAAAAGTATGTTGTTAAAAAAAAAAAAAAAAAAAAAAAAGTATATTGTTCCCAGCCAGGCATGGTGATGCATGCCTATAATTCCAGCATCTAGGAGGCTGATGCCAGAGGATCACTGGATCACTGGGAGTTTGAGACCAGTCTGGGCTCCAAAGTCAGCTCAAGGCCAGACTAAACTGCATAGAGACTCTGTCTCAAAAAGACCAAAAAAAAAAAAAAAAAAAGTATGTTGTTCCTAATTTAGAAATTTACATGAATAATAAATGTACTGAATAATAAAAAAATGTACTGAGCATGAAACATCTGGGACAGTCCTAAAAGAGGTACAGAAGTTAGTCCTCTGGAAGGAAGGGATCAACAGGTAGAATACACTAATCTAAGCCTGTACAGGCTTCCCTCTTACTTTTAAAATTACCTGATACTGTGGCCATATCTGATTTTGAATTTATACACACTGGGTCCTGCATGAAGAAACCTCGTCTCTGGAAATGGGTAGGTGAAGGGTTTTAAACTCATTGCATCCAAATGGAAGCCTAAATAAAGTAGAAATAATAGAGAATTATTTTAAATGCCTACATAATCTATAGCATCTTTTCACAAGTAAAATGCTCAACACTCAATACCACTACCTATGTACCAGGCTCAGCTCTGCTATTCTTCACATGAACCATTCTTCTCCCTGAATGGGGCAAGAACATGGTATGTTCTTACCTCTGTCTAGAAGTAAACAACCAAATACTGTTTACATTTTTTTTTCCTAGCACTTGGTGGTTTTGTTTTTTTTTTTTTTTGTATTTTTATACAGGGTGTACAGGATCTCACTGTGTAGATTGGACTTGTAGTGATCCTCCTGTTTACAGTTCCCAAATTCTGGGATTACAGGTGCAGCCACCACACCCAGTCTCAACTGCTGTCTCAGCACGCCCTGGGGGTAAGGCTGGTACTGTAGGCCTGGGGAATTGAACTCCCAGGCCCTGCTTCTGCCTAAGCAGATGCTTTAATCTGCTGAGCTATTTGGCCAGCCCTAAAAGTTGAAGGTTTTTTTGGCCTGGCTCAGGCTGCCTTAATGGTGGGTGTGGTGTGGCATGTGGAACTAGGGATTGAACCACGGTCCTGCAAGCCTGACTGGGTTTGCTCAGGCAGGCACTTAAACAACTGAACTAGTTGGCAAGTACCCCATGTACTTGGAATTAAACCTAGGGCCTTTTCACTGGGCTACATCCCCACCTCTTTTTATTTTTATGTATGTATGTACGTATGTATACCAGGGATTGAACTCAGGACCTTATGCTTGTCAGGCAGGTGCTGTGTGGCTAAATGATCTCCCTGGCCCTTGGCTTCTTTTTCTATCAAGACATTATCTCCCTAAATTGCTGAATATCGCTGGGGAGATAATAGCTCAGTGACATAAATGCTTGCCTGGCAAACATATGTTCCTGAGTTCGATCCCTGGTACCACCAAAAAACAAAAACAAATGAACTAAATTGCTAAATATCTAGGCTGGGCTCAAACTTGTGATCCTCCCACTGTAGGCTCCCAGAATGCTGGGATTATAGGCATGTACCACAACACCTAACTTGCCCAATACTTCTAGAATCTATTCTCTTTCCCTGTTTCACTTTCCCTGAAAGGTGTATGGAGGAGGGCTTGATTTAAATAATGAGACATTACAAAGGATATGCAAATAAGAGACACAGTTAGGAGGAACTTTTCCACCTTTAATACAAGACGAAATGAAAGGAGCAACACAACACCCAAACACAATCAATGCACCAAGTAAAGATGAACACTATTTTCTAGTGTTGTCAAGAAATTCCTTATTTTCCCTACCTCTCAGTTGCTCTTCCTCTCCACCAACTACAAGGCTTCCTTGAGCCCCTAGAATGCCTGCTATACCCCTAGTAATTACAGACAGATAGTTACATGTTTTTAATTCTAAAATTTTAGATCCTTTCCACTCAATAAAGAGGAGAGCTAGAGAAATGACTGTCTCAAGATTTAAAAAAAAAAAAGTTAAGGACATAGTTTTCAGTATGAAGGCTATGGGTTCAGTCTCTAGTATCTCTCTCTCTCTCTCTCTCTCTCTCTCTCTCTCTCTCTCTCTCTTTCTCTGTCTCTCTCACATACACACACACTCATGATAATAAACATAATTTTGTAAGTAGTAAAACAGATACACTAAAACACTATTTCATTATTCTC